TTAGGTGGGGTTGACAATGTGCTTTGATACCCACCCAGACTGTGACAAAAGACTTCACGGTGAAGGGTTTGCCGGAAGACATCTGCAAAAACTGATTACAGCGCGTGTGTGTGTGTGTTTGCGTGTTTTGTGTGTGTTTGCATGTGGTGTTTGTTAGAGCCGGTTGATGAATGGCTGTATACCGGCCTTGTAGAGAGAATATTGCAGAACACACATGTGGACGTGGAGATTGTGCAGCAGTAATTGTCAAACCAGTGGTCAGCCTCGAGCTCCAGTGTCTCCGGCTGCTTCCTCTCTCGCTCCACGTGAATCTGTGTGGTCACATGATATTTTACTTTGAGGTACAGTCTGTGCAACACAGATGTTTGTCATAAGGGATGACTTAAGTCTGCACAGAAATCATCTGTTTGGTAATGTTTGCTTGTTGATAGATATTTTAAACATGTTTTAGTTTCAACGTTTGGTTATTTTATATCATATTTATTTGATGTCTTAATGTTACATCTTGGCACTATAAAGACAATATCCCTTGGATTCAATAACTTAACTTGCACCCACAATTATCATGGTATCCATATTCAGATATCGTCTCTGTATCAGGAAGGATCAAAGTTGATGCTGGAGTAGAGGTTAACAGCGGTTACAAAAGTCCCAGTTCCGTAACAGTAAGAATTGAAGAAGTTACAATATTTGTGGTGTCTTGACTCCAGCCTAGAATGCTGTTGTTTACTTGTACGGTAAAATCTCAAAAAGAACCAACACTCTATTTGCCAAAAAGTGCTTTAAATCGGCAGTGTGGGAGCATTTTGGATCCAGAAAACACCAGGGAGTCATGTTAGCCTCGGATTAATTAGAGTTTAATAATCATAGTGTGAAATTAAGTTTTACTGCCAATCCTCTGGCCTAGATTAAGTACACTTATGTGATATGTAGATGTATATTTTATTTGCTGGTTTTATAATGGAGCAATGATACATTTGATCTGAAGGAAGAGCGCTAGTGACGTTAACAGCTGTTGTTATAGTATCCAGGGCAGAGATCCTGGTTTGGAGGCTCCATCTAGTAATGTAATGTTGCCCTCAAGCACCATGCAGTAAAAATGCATATTGGGCTTTTAACTTTATCATGATATATTCAAATAATTATTCAGTTATTTGAAAAGAGATGTCTACGCAGATTTCAATGCTTTCTTAACACTACCATTGCCTGCAGTTTTTTAATTAATTGCAATGCTCTCTTTTGTTTCCTAATCATTTTAATTGTTGTGTATGTTTTTATGCAAACCACCACTACAGATGAAAATATGATGATGATAATACCTGTTTTAGTTTTTTTATATTTATTAGTTGTAAAACCGGGATATTTCCTGCATGAAATAGACATTTCACAGTAAATACATGCACAATGCAATTCAAGGGTCTGGCTTGCATCGTCATCTCTACAGCCCACTGGGACATTAGATGGATAGATAGATGGATGGCGAGCTATCATTGATGCTACGTGGCGCTAGGTTAACGCTACTATGCTAATAGTTAATAGAAGTGGATATTAGCACTTTAACTGTATGAAAACCAGCTTATATTTTGTGTAGTCAGTCTTGAGGCCTGCTCTTTACTTTTCAGATCATATCAACTGTTAAAGTCAAAAACATATATAAAAAAACGGTATTGGCATTGGGTGCTTTTCCATACCAAGTACACCACAAGGTGTACCAAATACTAGGACACAAAACACTTCCTTCTATTAAAAGCATTACAAAAATGGTCCAAAAAAATATATTTCATCAAAACCAGCTGTCAAATGTCTTAAACGGTATAATAAAAAGCTAAAAACTGACTGGAAAGACAAGTATTCAAAATGTTTACTTCCCAGTGTCTGACAGTTCTTCCATTGACCTGGGACCTCTGTGTGCTGTTAAAGCTGTCAGTTGATCTAAATCATGTTGATAACAATACTTGTTTTGTTACTAAGTTCAAAGCCCCCATCTGGGTGTACAGCATGAACAGGAGTGGGCTGAGCATACAGCCCTGGGGGACTCCGGTGTTCAACAATTTAAGTCAAACACACCATAAAGCAGGCTATGCATTAGTGCTGTTGGTTGTTGCTGCCACCAGAGACGTATACGGCTTCTCTCCGTCACTCCAATTACGGTAACCTCTGTTCATTGGTTGTGAAAAAACTACCCCTCCAAACTACTATAACCATCTGTTTGTCTATATACATTTTAGTAATGTAATACTATTGGACAAGAAGGGGAAATTTAAAAACAAAACCTGGTTTAACTGGTGTAAAAACGTCATGTATGTCCAGTAAGTTTGTCCAGACTGCGCTTCTTTTGAGGACTAACTGTGACCAACTTTTGGTAGTCACAGTGCTTGCTTTCATGTAGTGGTCCCTTGCAGCTGAAATGTTTTACTCAAGCACATAATTTAATTTTCACAGCTTTGATATTGCCTTACATGAAGTTTCATCATTTTAATAAGTGAACAAGTAGCTAATTATGAGTTTGAAAGAATGTGAAATTAAAAAGATCGAAACATTTGTTAAGTCGAATGATTCTTTTAAGAACACTTCTGAGAGATGTTTGGACAGTTTTGCAATGAATTGTGGGTGGACAGAACAGATGCTCTTTAATTTGACAATGTCACACTAAGCGGAAAAAAGGGAACGTGGTCCTAACGCTGTCAATAATTAGTGAGCATGAAACATTTAGAAATATGAGGGTATGGTACAATTTGGTGACACCAAAACATTGAGAGCGTTTTTCTGAAGAGGTGCTGCTGAAGTTCAATGATTTATTCAAGGTATTCACTGTTGACATCGGCTGTCGCAATTCCTCTGGGCAAAGCAACCCATGACGGATCGCGGTCCGTCAGCAAAATAAGACAACTTAAAGGTTCTAGTTGTATATCTATGAAGATGGTTTAGGGTTTCAGTTCTCCAGGATGTATCCGTCTTTTGAGATTTCTGCTTCCGCTTCAATGCAATAGAGACAGTATCCCAGTTTCATTCGGATATTACAAATAACTCATTTTAAGAAGATGAAATGAAGGAATAGTCCTTTTGTCACTGTGTTTTGGATAGATGGCTCTTGCACTTTTCTTGCACTCTGGCTAGGACAAAGATTTGATGAATTAATTTTTCTATTTGAACCGGATTTGAGTTATTATAAAATCTGAAAACACACATTTTTTTTGGGTGGTTGATGTGAGTGAAGAAACAGACTTTAGACCCATGATACAAAGTTAAACACTTTGCACAAAGTTATTAGTCAAGGTTCCCTGGCTGCAATTTAAAATGGCAAATTAAATAAAACCCTAATTTTGACCCCGTTCCCACTTGGAAATAACGGTTGAAAAAGAAAGGAGGAGAGGAAAAGTGGCATTTCATGTTTGACACATGGGAAGTCACTGCCAGTTGATTGGCTCCCATTAAACTGGACATTTAATGTAGAATGTTTCATCTGTTCAGTCCTTGGGGAATTCATCACCAAAGACTTAGCTGTGTGGAAAAAATAAAGACGTTTTGTTCATTCTCTTCTCCAAATGCATGAAAGTCTCTGGCAGAAAAAGTGAAAAGGAATACCACCAGATCACAATAATGAGGGTTTAGAGGACCTCTGTAGCTTTGCATGAGTCACATTTCCCTCTTATCTTTCACCTACATGGCCCCGCAGGGAAAACAGGAAAGAGGGAGGGATGTTTCTTAACTTTTTAGGCGCTCGCTGATTTCTACCCTTTACATGTCTCCTTTTTAAAAGCACAGAAGAACCTTTTTAAACATCCTGTAATAGATATACAATTGCCAGCCATGAAATAATAATTAGAGCGTTGGTAGTCGCTGGAACCCTTGGCTCCTCCGGCAGGGTCTTGCTAATTTGCACTGTCATCTTGGTGGATGTCACCGCAAGCCCGAGGCTGTAGGCGGAGGCGCCAGTCTGATGGGGGGGCAGGGGGGGTATAACCTGCTGGGTGTTCTTTGCTGGAACTATCATCCCGCACCCACACCTCTGCTGCTATCCAACTGCCATTTTTCTCTCATCACAAGCTTCTTTATCTCTGCAATTCCTCTCCACTCATCACTCAGGAGCACCACTAGAAAGGAATTCGCTGCTATCTGAGAGGAGTGAGCATTTTCCCAAGGCTTTTAATGGACTCCCAGCAGCTGACAGAATGCTCGTTGCTGTATTAACAAAGCATGTTTGAGCAGCGGGGCAGCAAGTATGGACGTGCACTCTGTGATCTGTGCGAGCAGACATTTTCTTGAGGGGACATCTGAGGTGTCTTGCCTTTGAATACTTTCTATGATCACTGCTGCCATACGGCAAACACTTGTGTCTGTCATATGGGAAAGAGAAGCATGACATCACCGGTTAATTAGATCTAATGCAATATCTTTGTAAAGCTAGGCACTAGTTAATGCAGTCAGCTGAAACTAAAGTGGGCTTCTGACCAATCTGTTCTGGGAAGAACCATCGAGGTATTTCTTTTGAATGCCCTCACTCTTCCAATAGCAGTGCTGAAGGGATGTCAGCTCTCACGCTCCTCGAGAGGAAAGCGCCATGTGAATTGCAGGTCCAGTGGGACCTTTCTTCCACGTTGATGTAACCCTGATGTTTTAAATCCAAGGAGGGTTATGAGAATAACATTTTACCCAACAACTTACAGTAAGGAGACTTCCAGGTTAGCCAAACTTGTGAAAAATACAAGAAACAGTTTATAGACTAATTTCCCTGCTACAGTTTCACATTACCATTTAGGATGAACTTCATTGAGAATTTTATCTAAACGCTTCAGAACTTTACACCTTTTAGTCAAAGAACAGTGTTGGACATTCATTTTGTCCCTTGTCTCATTTGCATTGTAAAGTAGGCTGTCTAACAGCACAACAATACAATAAGGCCATTATCTCAACCTGAACTCAACCTTTTTTCTCAACCTCTTTTATCTCAACCTCTTTCTCTCTGTCTCCAATCCTGTCTGTGTCTCTCAAACGCTCAGGAGGCCATTGTCTCAGGTCTGCTTCCGGAGACAACCTACTCAGTGACTGTGGCTGCGTATACCACCAAGGGCGATGGAGCTCGCAGCAAGGCCAAGGTGGTCACCACCACAGGAGCAGGTGGGTGCTGCGTGTTGCATCCACCAATGAACATTTATAATATTTGTTTCCTCCATCTTCAAGGTTTACGGTTTCTTCCAGCACTATTGTTAAGGACTGATTCATATTTAGGTTTCTGTTAAAAACAACAACTCGTAGATGTGAGGGAACCTTTTTTATTATGCTTCATAATGGTGTTGTATTAGGCTTGAGAACAGTTTTATCCAGTCTAAGACAAAACATTTTAAAGGGGTTAAGACCAAAGCTGCGGGTTATAACTTAATGGCCTGTGTATTGTAAACTTATTTTTTAGAAGAATTAGAACAGTGAACATCTGGAGTCTCAAGACATTTCTAATGGTACACAGTGTTTCCCCGGGGGGTTAGTAGTTGAGCAAACCATAAAATATGTGGTTAGCATAAATTCTAGTTAATACACAAAATCTTAGGTAAACTTACTTATTTATTTAGGTATTGATTCATTTAAGGGGTATTTTAGGTACGTTAAATTTAGCGGGGGCTAATCTCATCATAACATCTTTTAGAACTAGTTCCCATGGATGTGTTAAAGGGTCAGTGTGTAATATTTGGTAATAAATAAATAGAGGCGACAAGTATAATAAAGGGGTGTGAATTTCCCCCAGTTCCTGGTAAGCCCACTATGATGATCAGCACCACCATTGGGAACACTGCCCTGATCCAGTGGCAGCCTCCCAAGGAGATGGTCGGGGAGCATGTGGGATACCAGCTGCAGTACAAGAGAGCAGAGGAGGAGGCCTTCACCATCAAAGACTTCAGGAAGGCAGACGATCATTTCACAGTGACCGGGCTCCACAAGGGAGCCACCTACATCTTCAAACTGTGCGGCAAAAACCGAGCAGGCAACGGGGAGGAGTACGTGAAGGAGATCAGCACGCCAGAGGACGTTCCCAGCAGCTATCCCCAGAACCTGAGCGTGGTCGGCCTGACCGCCACCTCCACCAACCTGGCTTGGGAGCCCCCTCCTCTGGCCGAGAGGAACGGGAAGATCATCAAGTACGCTGTGGTGTACCGAGATATCAACAGTCAGCACAACAGCACCAACAGCACCACAGAAACGCGGATGACCGTCCAAGGCTTGCAGCCAGACACGACCTACGACATCAGAGTCCAAGCCTTCACCAGCAAGGGGGCGGGGCCCATCAGCCCCAGCATTCAGAGTCGGACCATGTCCACTTCCATGCCAGGTGAGAACCAGAGGCTTCCTCAGTTGTCCAAACACTCAATAAAGGCTAATTGGTACATTTAAACTCTGAAAACACTGAAAATAAACGAGACAAAGTGTTAAAGACGCTGTATAGTATAAGGTATTAGTTCTTATTTATTCAATAGATGAAAACAAACTGGAAATGAAAAGTTGACCACGCCGTTCACACTGTGCCAGCTGTGTGAAGTGCACAAGATTTTAGGTGTGAGTGTTATCCTCTGCCGTTAGTTCTGAGCAGAAGGTAACACAAGTGAACATGTTGTTTTCAGATCATAAAGGTCAACTTCCACTGGCATAAACTGCAAATATTTCTAATTACAAACTTGCAGTATCCACATCCACATATTTGGACTTGATTAATATAAATGGGGTCATCGTGGCGCAGAGTTAGAGAGGGTTCGTTAGTGGTTCGAGTCCTGGCTGCCCCATGTCCCATGTCGAAGTGTCCCTGAGCAAGACACCTAACCCCTAATTGCTCCCTGGGCAAAAAAGCCATGGGTTAAAAATGTAATGTAAGTCACTTTGGATAAAAGTGTCAGCTAAATGACCTGTAATGTAATAAATAATCAAAATGCATTCAAAGAGTTAAACCCCATTTTGTATTTGTGGGAATATAGGTTTCATAGAATTGTGGGTGCGCTTCATTTGTATCATATCATTTTCAGCAGATGTAATATTTTACTGGTAAACCCTGACAAAGCCAGTTGCTGTGTCAGCACATTTGAATATTCAATGGAGTTGCTGCGGCTGTGCGTGTTATCCTTATGTTAGTTTTATTAAGTGGATGTTCTCCCTAAGGAAGGGATGTAAAACATACAGCCGGATCGGGCCCGCCGGGGGGGGGGTCCAGTGCGGCCAGTCAGATGACTTTGCTAAGTTTAAAAATGACAGAAAGACATAAATTGCATTTCTATAAAAGTAGCTGCTATTCCTAAAAGGTCACTGGGGATCGCACTCTGTGAGTGAGCACATGCGTCAGACCAGGAGGATCGAAGGAGCGTTCCTCCAGGCAGCAGCGCCGCTCTAAAATGACGGTGCGCAACCCCCGTCGACTGTACCATCCGCGCACCCCCACCTCCCCCCGTCGACTGTACCATCCGCGCAAATGTGTGTCCTAATATTAGATTGTTTTCTCATTTTAGCTTCAACTTTGAATCATCACAGTCATATTCACAATTAAATTAACCACCTAATAATCATCTAGACCTTCCCTCAGTGTTCACCAAGAACTTTGCCGTGAAGGCTGTGATGAAAACCTCTGTCCTGCTGACGTGGGAAGTGCCAGAAACCTACAAATCCCAAGTTCCTCTCAGGGTAAGATCCCATCAGGCTTCCACCAAGCAGCAGCATTTAGACAAAACACCCACTCAATTTAATAACAGAAGGAGGGTTCTTACTGATAATCTAGAACCAAGTAGTATGTGACAGGACAGACAAATGAACATTCATGAACACTCATTTTCTACACAGCTTCGATATCAAACTGCTTAAAATAATATGGACCACTGTAGACAGAGAGCAAACTATAACTATTAAGTTATGATGAAAAGGCACTGGGAGTAAGTTCAGTTTAGTGTAGTAAACATTATGTCCTCAGTTAAAACTGCATCAGTGTTATAAAGGAAACCCCTCGTGCTTTCAGATCCTGTACAACCAGCAGAGTGTGGAAGTCCAAGGCGACCTGAAGAGGAAGCTGATCACTGAGCTGCAGCCGGACACAGATTATTCCTTTGTGCTCATGAGCCGGGGGAACAGTGCCGGCGGTCTCCAGCAGCAGGTTTCCATTCGAACAGCCCCAGACCTCCTGAAGATGAAACCGGCTTGGCACCAGCACGATGTGGAGGAGGGAGGCCGAGTGACCATCACTTTGTCCAGCGCTCCTGCTGAAGCCACAGTCAGGTCTGTTTAGTTTCTCTGTTTGTTCATTGAAACCGTACTGAAGAAAACAAGGGCTGATTATTGACTTTATTAAGTGGCTCTGTGTGTATTAATGTAAATCTGTTGCACATGGTCGTTATATATTTGTATAAAAAGCAAATAATAGCTGTAAAGTATGTTCATACTTGAGTGTTAAAGTCAACCACTGCGGAATTCTTACAGGGGAAATTTCCCCCTTTATAGCTTGACGCCCTGCCATCAGGGATGGCCATGTGCTCGCATTCATTGTTGTTTTAATGTTATATCTAAATGTTAAATGTAAATGTTAAACATTCACTCTACATATCAGACTTGACGACTGAACATTACAATCTTTACGGTAATTCACGCCAAGACAAGCTTGCAAGTCCAAATGAATTAGCTCTTGTTATAGAACAGGGGTGTCAAACTCATTTTAGGTACGCGGCCACATACTGTCCACTTTGATGTCATACGGGGGTGGAGGGGGGGATATTTACCGTAAATATTGTAATGTTCAGTCGTCAAGTCTGATATGTAGAGTGAACATTTAACATTTATATTTACATTTACATTTATATTTAACATTTATATTTACATGTAACATTTACATTTACATTTAACATTTACATTTATATTTAACATTTGGATATAACATTTACATTTAACATTTACATTTAGATTTAGATTTAACATTTAGATTATTTAACAACTTTGTGTTACTGCCAAACTTTGAAAAGTTATTGCATGAGTTTACATGAATTTGTCTCTAAATGTTTGAAAAAGTGACATATGAATATTGTCGTGCTTTTTTTCCATATGATAATTCTAAATGTACCAAAACTGCGCAGGATTTTAGAACGTGCAACATTTTACAAACGGCGCCCCATAAGTGGAGCCACACAAAAGATGGACATAGACAGTTTTTTTGTGTTAAATCAATAACTCAGCCTTTTTGCATCCATTACAAGCATGGGTTATTTACTTCTTATATTCTAGCGAGTTTATAACCAGCCAATTATCGGCTGCTGCACAGAGGCCTCTCAAATCAGAATCTCAGAAGCAAACAAAACGTTCTGTCCCACTGCACAACGCCACATGGCTGTCCTAACCAAAACTACGGTGCCCCTCTGGAGCTCTCTCGACATTAAAAAGCAATTTGTTTAAGTGTTGAGCTTTTAAACCACAGTTGATCAGCAAAAGAAATTAAAAATGTAAAGGCAGCAGTTCAGTGGAAGGTTACTTTTTTAATATTAACTAGCTCGATCGAGGAGACCGCTGCCGCAAATTACTGGACATAATTGTGTTTCAAGTGTTTGTTTCTCTGAGGAGTAGTAAGCTGTAAAAAGACAAGCAGGTCTGATTAACAAAACCCACAAACTAATACAATTTCTATATGAATGCCTGACCCAGACCTTTTCATTAGTCGCAGAACAAACTCCTCCTAATATCCTCAACGGTGTTAAGGAGAAGAGCAGGCCACAATGTCAAAAGTTCAGAACAAATATTACAAAAACACTTGAGACAACTGCCATATATAACTGAAGAGACGGTTTGTAAATCCCATTGAAGCTGTGTTTTGAATGTGTGTATTCTTGGCATATGGCGGTGTGATGCAGCTGTGTCCCTGTGCTTGATTCAGGTGGTACTACATAGTGGTTGTTCCCGTCAACCCACTTTCTCGGAGGAGATGGGAGAACCCCGAAGACATGGACATACATGAGGTGAGTGGAAGTGTGGAGAAAGTCTCTCTCTCGAGTCGACTTGATTTTGGGTTGTAGTAGGACATACTTATTTTTCCTTTTATAAAAACACATGTTTAAATTGTGTTTTTGTACACTCTGGAACCTCATGAAATTATGTTTTAGGCTACAATCAGTGCATTATACTGCAAAAGCCTAATATAGCACATTGGGGGCATTGGTTGTGCTAATGGTCGAACCGTGGCAGGTAGGACGTGGCAGAAAGACTCCCAAGGAGACAAGTGGTCAAAAACTCTTGAGTAAGTGCAAAACACCTGCAGCATGACTTGGTGGCAGCAGGCCATGAGGTTTCAGTTTGCATAGTAAGGTGCGTACTGAACACTGAGGCGTTCCATGCCCGGACTCCTCAGACGCACACCACTACTGAACCCAAAAGCACAACAAAAGCCTGTCCAATATCCTGAAAACCATATAAATGAGCCACCAAAGTGAACAAAACTGGAACATTTTGGGCCTATGGATCAGTGGTCTGGAAGAAGAAGAATGAAGCACATGGTGAAAAGAACATCCTGCCTACAGTGAAGCATGTCCGTGGCTCGTGATATTCTGCAGCTGCTTTTCTACCTCTGGCACTAAAATCCTGCAGCGTGTGGAGGGCACGATGGATTCAGAAAATCTTAGCAAAAAACCTCATGCTGTCTATAATGAAGCTGTAGCTTGGGCGTCATTGGACCTTCCAACAGGACAATTTTCCAAAGCATACCTCAAAGTCCACCATGGCTTCGTTTCAGAAGAATAAATAGAAGATTCTAGAGCGGCCGTCAGTCGCTCTGCTTGAACCCATCAAAAATCTCTGGTGGGATTAGAACAATGCGGTTGCAAAAATGATTTTAACAGTGTCAATGGTGTCAATTGCTGCACTAAGGTCCAAAAAGACAAGAACAGAGACGAGTTCTTTGTCGGATGCAAGCAGAAGGTCATTCTCAATTCTCACCACTGCTGTCGCAGTCTTATGATGGCCTCTAAAAGTCTAACACTTGTTATGTAGAAAGTCACACAACTGGTTGCAACTGCTTTCTCAAGGATTTAGAGAGGAAATAACTTTGACTTGTTTTAGATACATATTATCGTTAAAGCGGAGAAGAGTAGTTAAAAGAGTAAATAAAAATCCTCTCCGTTTCTTTTTTTTAACTGAAGGCTTACAAAGATTCTATGGAAAGTCTGTTCTGGTTAACGCTACCTTGAATATAGACCTGCAAGGGATATCTCCAAAAGTCAGACATAGTTGTACTCGATCATCTTTTACAGATCATTATTCATACTCAACATATTGAGTCAAATTAAAGCCCACTGACATGTGTATTTTAGTGTTCAATTGGTGTTGCGACTCTCAGGTCTCAGATCATCTCTACGGATTATATTTGTCTTCAACCTGCAGGGTGGAAGATTAAGCACTGAGTTATCCCTACCAAGGAAATGTGGAACAACCACTGAGGGATGCCAGGTGTCACCAAAGTCATCAAATTTCAGTTGATATTGGCCGCCGCTCGAGGGAAGAGCTCTTCCGGCTGCAGTTGTGTATGTTGTAATCACCGGCTGTCAGTGAAGATCCATCAGGCGTATGTTATGTGTTTCCTAACCTGCAGGTGAACAGGCTGCTTCTGCTCTCATTCACAGAATCCCCAGAATAATTTCTGTGAGCGCTCTAAAGGAAGTGTGGTTTTTGGGTTTCATACTGTATCTGAAGACGAAAGACCACTATGATGGTTATAAATATAGGCTTTAATTGAATCCTTTCCCCGTTGCATCATAGAAATTACAAGGAAATTATATCACATCTGTGGAAAACATGGGGCTAAGTATCGCGTCGCCCAGATCCTCATGACACCTGCTATTGCTGTTTGTGAAAATGTCTTTAGCTCTACTTAAAACTTAACACTGATTCACAAATTCCTGAAAACACATTTTGGTTGATAAATTGTCCGTCATGAACTACCGTCCAACTAACAATTCACCGTTTGTATTGCGCTCTTGTTCTAAGAGCACCGACCCATCCACAAAGTGTTGCATCTTTGTGCAACCCCCCCCCAGCTCCCCAGAGCGCAGCCAGATCACACAGAAGGACAACACCTAGCAGCGTCGACACTTCCCACCAGGATGGATCCACTCCATTCTCTTATCAGTGTGAATGTGTTACCGTCTCCTTATATACGTTTTACATTAGGGCTTAGCAAAGGGACCATGTCAGTGTAAGGGCTCTATGCTTAGCGTTTGATGGTAGAATTTAGCATTTAGATTAAATGAATACAAGAACAGTCTCTGGTGAGATTGGTGTGATTCCTCTCCCTCACCCAGGTCACAGCTCATTGATTTGAGTTATTACAGCCAGCCACCACATGTGGAATAGAATATTGTGTGGATTTGAAATATACAGCATTACTTGACAAACAGGTTGTGACGTCATCGTCTCTGCCAACAAGGAAATACCAAGCTTGTCACTGCAGGGTGGGGAGGGGTCATATATCAGAGCCCAGAGGTGGATGTTGGGTTGGAGTTGGGTCTCTTAAAATGCTCTATGAACAGCAGCAGACAACATGGCTCCCGTGTTAATATACATATATATATATATATATATATATATATATATATATATAGTTGATGTTTCACTCAATGAGGAAGACGAATGCTTCCACGTGAAGTGAGGTTTAAATTAGAGTTTGGACTCTTGAATGCAGCATCCGTCGCTGTGTCCCTTTTTTTTTCAGAACCTATAAAACTCTTGATTAAAACTGTCTTCGTTGAATATGCCCGTCTCTTACTGACGTATCTGTTCCCTACTCGCTCCACCTGCTGGGAATGTTACCAAGATGGAAGTACAAAAATGCTGCATCCATCAAGTGTAATGGATTAGAGGAAATGTAAAGGACATGTTCAGTTCTTCAATTAGGCCAAATGTGTTTAGAGCGTGAATCCAATATGCCTTCCCATGAGCAGTGAGTTGATAATGCCCCCACCTCTAGGAGAGAGTGAAATGTTGTCTATTCCCTAAAGCTTTAATGGCGCTGCAGAGCACAGGGCCGAGTCCTAAATAATCCATGTTTTGTGTGTATGTATTGCAGTTTTGTGTTTAGAAGCTCTTTCAGTTTATCCAACATTACCTTTCAGCATTGTGTGCTGTTTATGTGTTTTATATCTATAACAGTAGCAAAGCTTGTATTATTTGGAGATGTCATCTTAACAGCTTTGGACTGGAACTATATAGAAATTCTGCCGTTTCTGTGTGGACTCAACAATTGGAGTGTTGCAGATGATCTGCTGTTGAGTGTTTATCCTCAGCTTTGGGTTTGCAGTAAATCATAGTCTTAGAAGTATCGTTTTAGTGTTAAGTGTAATGATAGGCCAATCATGCTGTTCCATAGTGAAATAAAGATTGTTAACAGTGCAATTTCGATTTATATCAAATATCGGTCTGCCCTTCTCTTTAACCTCTCTATATGACCAGAATATCATCAGCGTATTATTCATAGACACAAATGTAATTTGTGTTACGAATGATAGTTATAGGATGGGGAAAGCACTGCTCATAGCAGATCGCATGTAATACAAATCCAAATAATTAATCATTGGCTCCAATCAATTTTGAAAGGGTAAAGAGGAATTCATTAGGGAGGGGTGAAGAATTTAAATAGATCAGAATTAAAATTTTAATGAGATTTGCAAAAACAAAAGTCACGTATTAGAAGTAAGAGGGAACCAACTCATCACTGAGGCACCTGGATCTCTGACACGTGATCACTTCCTGTCATGTTCAGCCCTGTTAAGCTCAACCCACAGTCTCCTGTTGTGTGTCGTCCTTCCGGCAGCTCCTGGAGGCCGGTGCAGACACCAGTATGCAGAGACGGAAGAGACAGAGCCAGGACGTCCTGCAGCCGTACATCGCTGCCAAGCTGGACGCTCTGCCCGAGATCTTCACGCTAGGCGACGAGAAGAAATATAACGGCTACTACAACAAGCCCCTACCTGGCCAGCAGCAGTATCGCTGCTTCGTTCTGGCCGACTTGACGGACCACGAATCTGTGAGTGAGCTATGTGAACATCTAGAGTACGGCACCTTCGCCATATGAAAGCTTGAGTGGTTGAATTAGTGCTTCACTGAGTATGTGCACAGGGATACAATGAATGTTCATTCACAGGACAAGAGACGTTACTCGTACACTCCAGTCGGTGTACAGAGACAATTCCAAAGCCAATCGCAATAAAATCTGTTCAATTTGTGCTTTTCAAAATTTCAGCCAACTGTATTAAATGTGACTGCTGGTGTGTATATATAGAAACATTAATCATAAAATCTTGAATCATATAAATCAAACATAAAAAAATGTAGAAATGGCAGTAAAATACAAGACAAAACATATATAAAAAAAACATGATAATAAAATGTGTACCAGAAGCCCAGTAAATTGGTACCATTTATATTTTGACTATTATTACTTCTTATGTACTCATCTTATATTGATCTCCTTCAAATATTTACTAATAACTTCTGCTATTTTACTTGGCAGGTAAACCCTTTTGATGATTGTCATGTCAATAAGCTTATGTGAGCCTATGTATACAGTACCTACGATACTGTACATTGAGCGGAGTGGGAAGTCTACACTATTATTTAGGTCTACTTGACGTAACCAATGAAACATACCACATATATCGTTTTCGTGGACAACAGTGGGACGGTGACATTAGGTGACGCCAGTAGAGAATGCCAGCAAAGATTAACATTTTAAATAGTTTAATTTGATGCTGACCTTTAATACAGAATACAAAAGGGCTGCAACGGATCACAAACCTTACGGTTCGGTTTGGATCACGGTTCAGGAGTCACAGTTCGGATCATTTTTGTACCAGCAAAGAAGAGGGGAGTCAAATATAACTTTGCTTCCCTTTTTCTGTTTTGTATTTTCAACACAACAAGGCACACTTTGACATTTTAAATAAACACAATAAAAAAGTAGTAAATAATCAAGACAGTTATACTAATATTACTAGTTAGATTATAGCGAGTATAAATGTAACCTTTACGTACATGCACATCTACACCGACAGATGCTATATAACCATACACATCCACATATATACCCGCACAGCGCACCCATCTATACCTTCCCCCATGTATTTACTTTTACACATTGACTCTCTTTGTAAACAATGCTGACTTACTGTAATGTTTTTGTCTTCCACCTTTACACCGTCATTAGAATTGAATGCTCCCAAACTTGCGACTTAGAAGAAGCCGGTGGCCTCTCAGGTTCCTCCGCTCGCAGTGACCTTCACCGTTAAATAATCGTGACACGCTTTGTCCACATGAACAAGCTGCTGTTTTAAATCGGTTTACTGACTTGAAATTGATATTAAGGGTAGGCTTTTCACGATACCAAAATTATGACTTCCATGCAATACCTGCCATAAATATCACGCTACCCGATGCTTACAATATGAATCCAGAATTCAATAAATACCGGTTGATTCGCAGGGCACAAGTGATCCGAAACACGATGATTTGAACGTATATATAGGATTGATCCGTCTTCTCACTCCTCAATTGTTCCAAGACTGGGGTAACTTGAGCTATCTAGTACAAAACCGTGGTAACGCCGTTTGCGTCGTCCAAGGGACGCCCAATGTAGAGATGCGATCAATCTAAGCTATGAAAAACACAACGTTTCTTGGCTTCAGGTGATTATACAATAATTACATTACATGTCATTTAACTGATGCTTTATATCCAAAGCGTTGCATTTTTAACCCATGGTTTTACGTTTTGCCCGGGTACCAATTAGTGGTTGGGTGTCTTGCTCAGGGACACTTTGACATGGGACATGGAGCAGCCGGGTTCAGTTCCTGGCACACCGTCTCTACTCCATGCGCCACTTTCATTACCCGTAATGAAAACAGAATTCTGACAATTTCTCTAATGTGCATTAACGCATCTTTTTTAAAATTAAAATTAAAATGATTATTATCTTAAAACTTCATTTGGCTCTGGCTTGGAATACACATACAGGCGCACAGGTCATAGTGAGGATGCGATGTTGATTAGTATTGTATCACACGTTTTAACAGACAAGAGCATTGGGGGCGAGCCTAAGACTGCTGCAGACACAAACCTAACTCCACGCAGCCTGTCTGGATCGTCGTGTCCACCGCAACTAACGATTTCCAACATATGGGGAGAGAGAAGACAACTAGACTAGTTCTAGTATGTTCCCTGAACCACTGCCCTCCCGTTTACCCCAACCAACCCGACCACACCCCCCCCCACAATAACAAATACTATTAGTCCTAGAATAGTCTTGATAAAACGTATACCTTATTTAAAGTGTTTGCCTTAATAAAAGTGAACAATCCACTACTTTTTAAGAATTATTAAACTTTGCATTTGATCATTGTGATCCTTATATTGAATACATTCAGCCACAACACTTTACATTCTACTCCTATGATATTTAATTAATCTCACTGCAGTTTACAACAGATCTTTCCTAATGGCCATGTGGGAAATCAGTCAAACAAAATGTCTGCCCTGCCAGACGGCCGTGTGATTAACCCACAGCCACATTGATCGTTTTAGGAATTGATCTGCTGTCAATCATTTCCGACCTCAAACTGTACATCAACCACAGCCAAAGTTATTTGCTGCCAATTCAAGGTTAAATCTTGCTTAATTGACAGAATCTGCTTTTTTATACTCATGTTGATAGGGAGTGGACACATCTGATATTCTGCAGGCTGGCCGTGTGTGCAACTTTTCTGAAAGTTCTATTTAACGATTGGGAAAATTGCAATTATGTGGTTCAGCTCTCTCCTAAGGCCACAGTCCATATTGTTGCTGTATTGGATTGCATTATATATGAAGGTGTTCTTGTTGTTCTCTTCTCAACGCTATAATGTTTGGGCGCACTAGATCAATGGTACCTTGGCAGGACCAAGCAGGGCAATAATACAAGCAGGATTCCAGAGGGGGCGTGAACCGACGCAGAACCAATTGTGTGATGCCATGTAGTTTTGCATTCTAATAGCAGTGAAATACACCGGCCACAGCTAGCCGCAACCTTGTGGGAGAAAGACATTAAGCTCTATGTTACAGTCTGCCTTGCATGCAGCAACGGCGTGTCAGGAAAAGTTCACCCACACCAAGGCTCCTGCTTGACACCTCTCACCCTTTAATAAATCATGAAACTACACCAGAGGACAAGGGGATGGCTGTGGCAACGTGCATGGGTTTTTAATATGCAGATCTATTGCCGATCATTCCTTGCCTTTTTAAAACTGTAAGTTCGTTCTCCTAAAACTCTATTCCCAGCATGCATATTCGCTTACTAAACGGAGTTTGTCGTGAGTGGCACTGTGTTTCTCCTCCGTTTTTTGCCATCGATGGAACAAAAAGAGCAGCCCTTCAGGGTGCAGTGCATGCATGCTGTCCATGACACAGGGATGCAAATTCCTGCTCCTTCAGGTATGTCTCTCAGACTGTAAAGCCATGACCCTAACCCCTTGCTTTCAGGTCACAGCATCTTCAGACTAATTGCGATTGCTTTTGTTCCGCATATGTCTCATTTCCCCCGTGGCATCTTCTTTGAAATGAGTTATGATCTTAGGGGTGGGGTTTGGTTCAGAAGTCTATTCCTCAGTCAAATGGTACCAGCGTTCAGATTTTTTATAACCAATTCGCTTTTGCTCGCAGCCAAGCGTTCTCCATTTCCAGGAACAGATAGATTTAGCATCGTCCAGCTATGAAAGTTAGACTTGGATTTGGATAGTCTAACAGGTAATCCTTGGTGAGGATCTAGAACTACTAGATCTACATTGAGTTGAGTTGGCGCTCTCCTATCCTGTGTCCTTCCTGGGCTGATCCAGTGCTAGGACTGGGGGTCGTTACCCTTACTTGTTCTTTTTAACCCCACCTCCTGTTTTCCAGGTCCCCTCAATCTTGGACTTGCCCCTCGTTAGAGAGTTTGTGGTTGGTTTTCCCACATGAATTGGGACAACCGCCCCTGTAGACTTGTCGGAAATCCATACATAGCATAGTAACCGCGCTCGGTCCTGCTCCTACCCGCCAGAGGAGCTGTAACAAGTGCAGCAACTTCCAATTCTGTAATGTTAACAAGAGACATAATCCTAGTCATATATTACATCAAATTGATGTATTTCATTAAGGCAGGCTTGTAGGAAACGTTTAGGTTAAACCTTAAAATTCACCCATTAGTTGCACATGCTGGGTGTGCTATTTTTTCTAGGAAACTTGTTTGTTGGTCAGACACACGGTTGTTTCATTACGTTAAGCACATAATAACAGAGCTATAAAGCCCGATCAGTAAATGAAACTTGGCTGAGGGTGATTCAAGCTTGTACAAAAATAGAACCCTAATCACATTCATTGAAAAATGGGAAGTAAGCTAAGCTTCTATTGCTACTGCAAAGCTGCTGGCAAAGTAGAAGGAAGAAAGAAGAGCGGGGGGAGAGAGGGGGAGGGGTGCTGAATGAAGCAAAAGGGCACTGCGGCTTTCTGTGGCCCCCACCGGTGGTAAACATGTCGGGACGTGTGGGAAATTGGATAAAAGAAAAGAGCCCCTTTAAACAGTATGATAATATACAGCAGAGGAGGCGGGCGGGGGGCTTGATGAACTTTGAGGAGTGAAGAACGGAGGGAGGAGGGAGCGGTGGCAGTGGTCAGGACTGGGGAAGGCGGTAAATACAGTGAGCCGCTTGGATGTCGCATTACAGTGGAGCACTGAGCGGAAGGCTCCGGATCAAGTGGAAATTTTCCCGAGTTCTGGGGAATAACAGCTGTCAAAACGCATTAGAATCACACCATGTCTCTTCTTATTTTATGAGTCAGGGGCTCTCTTTTCTGGTGGGAGATTATAGACAAAGGAAACAACAGTGAAACGTTCATCCTCCCACTGCTATTAATCCACTCTTCGTCTGCTCAGCCCACCTCCTCCCATCCGGCAGATGTAGCAGCGGTACATTTTTCACTCACTGAAGGTTTACTCTCTATCAGCGAGCACCGCTGAGA